ATGGAGCTTTAGTTTGTTCTGTTCTGTCTCAATCCTGTATCAGGACCTTTCTCTGCCTGAAGGTGATAGGAAATGATTAGTTCCTCTGCTTCCCCAAGMAAAAGCAACATTGTTGCAGCACTTTCCTAGCATGACCTTGTTTTCCACTATACTAAATGATGCTAAAGCCATCACAAACACATTCAGACTCATTTTCAGGCTGCTTCAAAATCTAGGACTCTCATAAACACACAAACTTGACCTTTTTAGCAGCAAATGCTAGTACAGAGCTCTTTAAGCATGCATTTGTAGTTGTTTGATCTAAAAACATGACAGGTTTGAAAGTTCAAATATTGGCTTACTTCTTATGTTTTTGCTCCCCCCTTTTTTTTTTGGTTGCACATCACAGGCAATTGTATTGCATCAATATGTTACTTTTCCCCCATTTGCACACTGAAACACTTTGGTAAAATGCATGGCAATACCACAGTATGTTAGATGTCATTGAAGAAAAAATGCCATTACTTTTATCCTGATAGTTCTGTGCCAAACCTTGTCAGTTTAATCTTTTCATACTCTTATATCTAAACAATTATGTTTCCTAATTTGATCTAATCTAATCTAATCTAATCTAATCTAATCTAATCTAATCTAATCTAATCTAATCTAATCTAATCCCTTTTGACTCAGACATTTTCAACTGTATACTCCTGCTAGCTGGAGGACAAATCGTGTTGTATTTAAGTTAGTTCTCGAAGAAAAATAGGAGGAATAAGAAGGAAAACATTTTCTGACAGAGATAATTTTATATAAATTTTAGATGTATGTATATTCCCCTCCCTCCAAAGATATACTTGGACATCAAGCCATTTGGAACATTTCATCTGGCCAYCCAAGTGAAAAATGAAGTATCTAGAAAGTCAGAACAAGAAAWGCAGAAGCAAGCCAAACATCACAGRTYGCTTTAKAAAAGACTAAGGKGAGCAGCTGGAGTCCCCAAGAATAATTTAAAAACCAGCCAAGCAAAATCCTAAACCCAGCACAGGAAAGTGCAGATGAGGTTCTTCAGACACTGTCAGATTTTCTTAGCCCTTCATGTCCATGTCCACGTCACAGGCTCTGGTGTTTCTCTGAAGTGACTGATAGATACTCCAYGCTAATTTCCCCCATTCTTATTTTGAATAATACCTCAGTCCCAAACTGTTTGTATTCAAGACAGAAATAACAGTTTCAGTCACAGGAAGCTAGGAGGACTTCTGTGGCAATGCCTTTCCTCTTGACAATGTCTCTGTTGTTCTGGGCCAGTCTGGGGACACATCCATTTGTGGGATGATGGTTTTGAGGGGTGAAACACGATCAGACACCAATAACACCTTACTCTTATAGATAAGATTCATTGCTTATAGTGTGTAATTCCTGAAGAACTCAGCTCTTATTTGGTACAGGTTAATGAGCATATTTTGGTACTTGGAGGTAGAGAGTACCTGTGTTGGTGGATAGACTGAATGTCTTGGCTTGTGCACAAAACTAAGCAAGACTGCTCATCCATGTAAAATTTCTACTGCCCACATTTAGGCCAGGAATTCACTCAGAGAGATTAAAAATATGGATGAGTTGTGTCACTGAATCCCATCAGTGGAAATCACTTAATGGCCTCCAGTAAAATGAAAGCAAATACAGATAAAAATTGGAATAATTATATTAGATTTATGGCTGTCTCTTAAATCATCTTTTTACTCTTTTTTTTTTTCTTTTTCTTTTTTTCTTTTTCTTTTTCTTCCTGCTAAACACAATGACTCCGTTTTTCAAAGTTAATTGCCCAAAAATCTTTTCAGGCACCTTTTATATAGTTGAATAGCCTGTGTGTGAAATCAAATTACGGGGTTATACATGGGTATGTCACTGGTATTGTTCATCTGTGATATGCCCTGTTCTGGGTACTCTTTCCCTTGATTGCTATTCCTCAATTTCTGTTTGCCCAGATTTGAAAAGCTGGCCTTGGAAGCTTGAACATGATTTTCTTCTGCCTTAAAATCAGATTACCACTTCAGCAGATTAATGAAATATTTATTTTGTTGCTTGCTGGAGGTGGAGAAGTCATATWCCCATTTGAAATACTGGGTTTTTTACTATGCATAAGAGAATCACAAGTCCACCACCACACTGAGACCCAGAACCTAAAGTCTGACCTCCTAAAGTCAGTCCAGTGTGCTGATGATCCAGCCTTTATACACCTGCAGTTCAGTCAGACAAGAATCTCTGTTCAGTTTGTGATGTTCCAAAGTGTTTCCCAATAGTAGATGTTATTATTTGTATTGGTCTTCCTGCATTCCTTACTGTAGGGGTTAGAAAAAGGCAAAGTATGCAGAGAAACATCTCTGGGTTATTATTCTCTTATCAGAAATAGCAGGAGCTTGGGTATAACTATGTGGGAGGGAAAGCTTAGTGTGTATCTTGTGAATGGGAGAGGCTGGGAATGTCCCATGAATGTTTGTGTTGTCTGTGTTTGTATATGCTCTCATGGAATTAAGGATTAGGACTCACCTCTGCTACTAGCTTTTAATTGTTATGTCAATGTATTTTAGGAACTAAAACACACTTTTGCACCACAAAAACCCAAGGTCAATTAATTTTCACCTGGTAACTACCTACAAACATTGAACCTACAAAATATTGAAAAAAATTTTAAATATTAAGAGTCCATTACTACACATCAGAAAGCCTTCCCATCCATTCATCAGATACTTCAGATGCAATTACAAATTATATTTATACAATAAAAGAATGCCCCATTCATTTACAAACATTCTTTATTCAAGAGAAATAAATAATTCACAACRATCAGTGTGATTATTGTTTGAAAATGCTCTGAATTCTTCAGAAGAAAACTGTTTAAKTGATGTCCCATGCAGCAGTTTAGCAGCCGTACATATGATGTCACTCCTAAAAGTCCAAGTAAATGACGTCATACATACGACCACCAAGCCACCACGTGACAAATGACTGTTATAAGAAAGTGAATTATCCTTACAAACAGAAAAAAACAGGCTGCTGGGAATGCTGAAGTTCRCTTTTTACCTAGAATGAACAAAGGATTCTAGAGAAAGCAATTTAGCTTCATTATTAAAGGAATGAACAGAGACTGCCCTGATTTCTGTGAGACAGACAACTGCTATTAACTTGTGCAAGACTTCTGCAAGAGAGAATCCAGACAAAGTAAGCATAAAATTCTTACGCTTTCCCCCCAAACAAATATTGGACATGATGAACAAGAATTCCCAAATAATTTTCTCCCACCACCAAGGAACTTGCAGGACACTAACAGTAACTGTACGTRACATTTGGGAAAAGAAGGCATTTGTAGCTGTCTTTGATTTTGCAGCTTTCTTTGCTTTTTTCTTCTTACCTCCTTCCCCTAAATATAACAATGTAGCAACAATTATTGGTAAGCTCAGTCAAAATACAATATAAATTCTGGATGCTCTGTTTGTTATTGATTTGAACAGCTCAAACGTTCACTTGTTATAATTCTTTCAAAATTGCTGTGTGTAGTCATCACTTGTGGATCACTAAACTTCTGTTCTTCAATGCATCACATTTTAGAGCAAGAGTTCAGCTTAATTTAGATGAGATGCAGAGCCCCTCTCATACTTTGATTGTGTTTGAACTACTTGTCACAACTGCTGGTTTTAGGACAGACAAGAAAACAAGGGCCATACCTTAGGAAGGCCATTAGCATATGGTACTCAGTAAACATAATCATTTATATCCATCACAAGTGTGCTAAGAAGCAGCAGGCAATTTCTTTGGGGAAGTACTACAACATGACATGTTTTACTTAATCACTGAGTATTAGAATTTTCCTATACTCTACTGCTGTTGGAGAAGGATGGTAATTATCTCTGTGAGATCCCATATGACTAACATGGCAGATTTTGGCAGCTGTTTAAACAAGCATGAGATTAGCAGGTACATCAGATGAAGACAAGGTTGTTGCAATGAAAAGCAAGTCACAATATTACAGGGTTTTTTTTCCATTTCTGCAGGATTTGCTCACATGAAGAAGCTTTTCTTGCATGTTATCCTAATGAAAACCGTGGGCCTAAAGGAGGGCTGAAGAATACTTCATATTCTGGATGGATTTTTTCTTGCAGCCCTGATTAACATCTTGTGAGATGGCTCTTTACTGCAATCAGCTGCACAGCAACAGCTTTGTTTTTTTTTAAAAAAAGCAAAGATGTAGTCAAAACGTCCTGATCACCCCTGAAGCTGGGTGAATAGAACAGAGTACAGAATTCCTCTTTCTTGATAAACCATGAGCAGCTTGAGTCTCAAATTCTCACACTAATTCTTGTCACCTTAAAATATCAGCAGTTTGCTTTCCAGAGCTTCCCTTGTGTGTGAACAGCTTCAGGACTTGTGAATGCACATACCCACAGCGTGAAACAACCCATAAATAGTTTCACAGGGAAATGTGCATGCAGAACAGCAGCTTCCAAAGGCACAATCTCAGGTGATGAGACCCAGGGGCATCTCACTATTCAAGGCTGGGAAGCTCAGAGGGCTCCCAGAGGTGCCAGACAACAAGAATGCTCAGGAGAAGCAGGACAAAAGAGGCTGTKACAGATCTCCAGCAGCCCTTCTGGCCCTTGGGAGGTCTGCTCTGGACCGGATGCCTGAAGAGATGCTGTCTAAGCAGCAAAGGCTTGTTCCCACAGTACCTGCACAGACATGGGTTTGGAGATGTGTGGTGAAAGCTGCTGAGCTGGGCAGGAGCAGGAGCCCAGCAGAGATCGAAGCCACCCCATGTCACCAGTGCGTGCTGCTCTTCCAGCTGTGAGGACCAAACAGGGCCACCAGGGGTGGCTCCCCCAKCACGGTGACAAATGCTTTACTAATGGGTTCTGGAGATTTCCTAATGGGKTCTGGAGGCTTGAACCCACTGAAACTACAGCTGGATTCCAAAACCAGCCATTTGGGCAGTTACTGAAAATTACATTTATGTTTCCATAGAATTAATTTTCGCTGTTTTGTGAACAGGAATTATTCACAAGCCTTTCAGGAGCTGGCAAGAAGTACTAGACTCTGCATAGCTTTGTGACTGAGGCCAGGTTACTGTTTGACAGATTTGGACTTAATGAACTTTCACAATTTGTTTTTCGCTCAAAAATGAATTTACTATAAAATACAATATAGGTCTTGTGGGCATAATTGAAAATAGTGTGGCCTTCAGCTGCAGCACTCATTTAGTCCTTACTAGGCATGTAGTGGTTGGCTCAGGACACCAAATGGGAAAATGTGGGAAAAACTTCATCAATCCTCATTTCCAGGGACATTTTGTAGGCAAAGTTCTTACTTGACAAAAGAAAGCAGAGAATAGTAATCTCTTCTCTCGATCTCCTGAAAAATTCATTGGTCACAGAGGAAAGAGACCTAAACCTGCTTTTTCTTCCTCATTCTCAGCAGTATGATGTGCCAGGCACATTGTGCTGATGCTCCTTCTTTCTTGTAAAGAGAAATGTGCACTGAGGAGATGAACTAATTGGTCCAGCACACAGGAGCTCATGTACTTGAGGAAACAAATCTCAGTCAATTCTGTGGCTCTCAATAATTGCCAGAAACTAGAGAGCATCAGGCATAAAGTGAACTAAGACAKAATGAACAGCTGAATTTTCTAATGAAATTCCTTTTGAATTGCAGAGGACTATCCAGTGATGCGTTATCATGAATCCAAAATCAAGGGAATCCATMAAAGAAGAAGACAAGAAGGAGTGGCTTTTATTTCTAGATTATGTCTTGTCACAACTGATGCTTCAAGTTTTGTTTGACAAAGATGAGTTATTAYGGATCTGTGCACAGAAGTGCTATTTATTCTATGCAAAAAAAATGCACACATTAAAGAGATGGTTTCTAGATGAAGGTACCAAAATCTCTTGGTGACAAGTCTAAAGGAGGTGATGGGGAGGAATGTCTGTGCACACCAAATAAGTGAGATGTGTGACAAAACACTGAAGTAGAAATACGAGATTAATCTGAGGATGGCTTCTGTAAAGCACTGACACCGTATATAGGGCAGGGTGTGCTCCAACACTGAGACTGTCAGGGAATCACAGCTACCCTAAGAAAAGAGATTCCAGGTGAAAATCTTGCCTTTTCAGTAATGGTGACCACCACAGGGGAACCACCAGCACCTACAGTGGGATAAATGGCACAAACACAGAGCCTGGAGCCCAGAGGAGAAAACAGGGACCTCAAAAGTTGCGTTGCTTTACAAGAGCTTGCACTGATCCCCTGGGTTTGCAGGTCACAAATGAGAGGATGACAGAAAACCATCAAAGTCATCAAAGAAAGGAGATCTAGAGGATGTCTTATGGGGTGGATACAGGAGAGGGATGGGAGATCACTTCTGCCTATGTCACAAATCACTTTAACGATTATATTTTCCTCAGTCTCAGTGGCTGACATGTCTCACAGTTCTCAGAACAAAGGAGTGATTTGAAGAAACAACAGAGTGGGAACAATCTTTCTGAAAGAGAGACGCCCTTTACACATTTCAAACCATAAATAAAATGCAAAAAAATGAACAGGTTCTACCATCTACAGATGGGAAAACTTTTGGAAAAATGACCGAGGCAAAATATTTTTCATATTTGATCTAACAGCAGTATTCTGGATAAGCTGCATGAAGGAAACAAAGTTTTTTCATGGTCTGCTTCTATGACTGTGGCTTCTTCCTTATTGAAAGGGAAATTAATGTAAGAGATGTCAAAGCAGAGCACAGTATGCCCACTGCAGTGGGGAAAGTAGGCACATAGAGTTTGGAAGAGAGAAAATGTGAGGCAATTTGTGCTTAAGTTATACATTGAGGTCAGAAGTTGAAGCATCCTTTGGTTCAAAGATACTTAAAATGAAAGCAGATGGAGTTCTCTCAGAAGAGTTTTTTAAAGATATCCTAGCCCTTGAGTACTTCAGGAATGAGCACAGAACTAATATTGCACACATGCTCTCAGGGGTGAGAGGTTTAAAAGACCTGGGGACAGCAGGGCAAGGATCAGCCCTTCAGGGTTGACCTACAAACCCTTGCTGTAGGTCAAAGCACCTCAAGTGCTGAGAAGTGCTGCTGACAGTTTTAGATACCAGAATATTTACAGCCCTGTCACTGGACTGGGAGCAAAATAAGCTGGATGTCTTTCTTCATCTGGCAATRGCTTTTAATAGGAAATATCTCTGTTCTTTGTCAAGACCTCTGTCAAGCTGTGCAGATCAGCTGGGATTCAAATCCAGAAGGAAGCTGGTCTCTCTCAGGCTCTTTGTTACAGACATCTCTGACCATGGGTGATTTCATAGCCAGTGGATTGTCACATGCACCCCTGCAGATTAGGTAGAACAGCCACTGTAAATGATCACAAATACCTGAATATTCCAATATACCTCAGGGTAGAAGACTTATCTCAAGCACAGAGATGATTCCTCAAATCATGAGCTAATTCTGGACAAATTCTTTTGGGACCAAGTTAGCAAAAATGTATTAACTCTCTTAAATTCATTCTCCTGCTCTTCAGCTCTTCTTTGATAGAGGGTCCTAATCCTGAACYATGAATTCAACATTTTACTGAAGTAATATATTCTTTGCTGTTTTCCTGGGTTTGCCATGTTTTCACTTAATTTTTTTTTTTTTTTACCTCCTTCTATCCATCATTCTCTTACTGTTCTCTMCTTTCCTTCTTTCTATCTATATTAATTTAAGTGGCAAACAGCACTGTGGACAAACACTAGGCTGAGAGAAGAAGAGAGTCACAACCCAATGAGTAAACCAGGGAGAGCAGATGCTCAGGGTCTCCAACGTATATTCTACAACAAGGGAGTTGGTGAGGAGATACACAGAGATATTTCACATTCACATGTTAAAAGAGCAGATGAGAATCAGAGGGCCAGGAGGAGCTAACAAAGCACAAGAAGAGTAAGAAAGCTTTCTCCAGGAACTCAGAGATAGAGTTAGATGAGCAATGAAGTGGCACCCATCATGCAAGTTGCGTGTACCACACCAGGGTAGTGAGGCACTTGTTCTCAGTAGCATCATTCAGCCATATGCTGATCATTCTGTAACTGAGAGTCTGGGCAGTATTCTGAATTCTGACTACCTGTAATGTCTATGAGTTTATGATTATAACTAATAATCTGAAGTTTCACAGGTAGAGATTGGCAAAAGGATTCATGTTACGTGAGAGGTATTTAGGCAGAAATTAATTTACTACATATTTAGAACCACAATTACACAAATCCTGTTGTGTACATTAAAATAAACACAATGTTGATATGAAACAGTTGAAAATAGCATTTGAACTAATAAATAGACTTTATACTAAAAAATAGACTTTATACTAAAAAATAGACTTTATAATTTATACTGTTATTTTTCATTTCAGCTGCTTTCCTAATTGCAGATCAACTACAAACAGTGAAAATCCATCACTTCTTAAGTCAGTTTGTCTCACAGAACAACATTAAGGGCCGTTTTCAAACACAAATATTCCCATATCACTGATATGTAGTAGCCTGTAAAACACAGAAATGAAAAGTCAWATGCATGACCTTCAGACTTGCAGTWCTGTCTCACAAAGAAACAATGCTTTCAAGTTCAAACTTTAAATAATTTTATTAATCTTCTTTTGAAATTTATTAGTAAGGGAACTCTTTCTTTCACCTGTGCAGTGTAACAAGTATAACTTGGTACTCATTTTTCTGAACATCACCACAAGTTTAAATATTGCAGGTGTCATGAGCAGTTCAGTTTTCTTGTACTTACAATTAGAAGGATGATGAGTAAGAGGAAACTCTGGGTTGTTTTTTTCATTGTGGAGTCTTTCTGGAGAGACACGTTGTAGATGACCCTTCTGGGAATTAAACAACAAAAAAAAAGCAGTATTGGATTTTATCTGTTACAATGAATTCCTTCTCTTTGTGTACAAGCATATTTTTAGATTTAGAGCAGACTCTGTGTGCATGGTTTGTGCACCCTCAGCCTTACATGTGCTCGGTTTGATCTAACTGGAGGTTGCTGTGCTTTAAATGCAGTCTCCTTTGTGAATCTCTGTTGGTGAGTACAGATGATGTGGGGTGCAGCTCCATGCCATTGGGTAACCAGCAGCAGGTTTGGTTACCCAAGCCCTGTGTTTTTGCCAGCTCAGCCTACCTTGGTTGCCCTGTTTCAGCTGCTTCTAACCTGACATGGAGCCACAGACCTCTGATCAATCTGGATGATTTAAACTTAGTGACCTACAAAACCCAGAAAGGTGCAGTTTGCAGATAAGTGCAATAGCAGCTCAAAAGACATATTTAAAAGCCAGAAGTTTGGGTAATCTCCAGCCAGGTGAACAAGCACGTGTGGCAGGAAAAGAGAAGGTGGGAACAACACCATGGAATTACTGGGATGCTGGGCTGTGAATAGGCACACAGCAGCGTGAGCCTCAGGACATTGAGTGTGGCTGCTTCAGCTCAAAGCACTGCAGAGGCAGAGCATGGACACAACTCCACAGGTTTGAAGGTAACTGGATCAGCAACTTTATGGTTTTTGATTTTTTTTCCTACATCAACACTCACCTGGACTATCTGGGAAAAATATCCAGGGGCCACCAGGTRCAATCTTATTGCTTCACAGTTGTGGGAGTTCAAGCAAGCAAAGCTCTTGGTATTAGCACATCATTTTAAGTTTTACAAAAATGTAAGTTCTGCATTAAAGTGAGAAATGCAGCTTTTGTCAAAACACAGCATGCCTTTTGATGTCTCACAGATCACTGAGCAACACGGAACACGTGGCTGGGATCACCTTCAGTCTCAGTAAGACAGCGAGCACTCACACACCTTAATTTTCAGACAGATTAAAAACTGGAAGCTAGGTGTTTCCTACTTAGGCAAACATTCCTGTGGGCATCCTACACATTAGAAACCCAGGAATCTAATAGGAAAAAAGGCACACGGACTTGCATGCTTAGTCTACTTGACATGTAATGAACAACACAATCACTGGTGTAACATTTGTCTCAGCAACAGCTTTGTAACATCTTTTGTCATCTTTAAATAGTCTGGCAGGTCACCCATTTTTAGAGGAAAAAGGAAATATRATCCTCATCTAAAGCAGAAATATGTAATATTGAAATGCAATAAAGGTGTGGCACTTCAATGTAGCACATGTGATCCAATGTCATCGTTGTAGTCATGTGTCACTGAAATTACATAAAACRTAGTGATGACAAGAGGGTTCAGAGGTTTTGTCTCTAATAAGAAGTAGTCTTATTACTGTTTGAATTTTGCCAGAATAATTCTGCTGTCACRGAGATAATGCAACATGGAAATGATACAGAAATAATATGCAGTTACATTGTGGGCTGCAAACTTGCATTTGAAGCAAAAACTGGAAGCTAAATCAGAGCAAAATGCCTGGAATTGTCTGTATTGGTTCAAAGTGACTATAAAGGTTAATGAAGAGCATTCAAACAATGGCTCTTGGACAGCTTTGAGCAGAGGTACCAGCATGTGAACGGTGTTTGTACTGTTACACACTGCAGAGCCTATCTGTGGATGCCTCGATTTTTGTTTGCCTCACCACCTCTGCTGCCTCTATAGGGATTTAGTGTCAAGTGGGCAAAGCAAGCACTTTGCCTTACAAAAYGTCAACAGCTTTAAAAATAACAACAATTTCCACAAATAGCACAGAGATTAACACAATTTTTCTACCTAGAAAGCATCAGCTGAATCAATATCAGCTGAATTTATCTGTGATATGACCCCTTTTTCTGCATTTCATGCCAAGAGTGCCTGCAGCATCATGTTGATGCAGGTAAATCTTATCCTCATGAGATTTTGTGAACATTTGTTATTATGTACTGACAGAGTTATTTAAAATGTTTCTTGGTCCTATTCCTCCTAATTAAAAACCAAAGCCATCTGTAAAATACTTAACACATTATATTCCCCTGTGTTAATTAAAATGACTGCACCATATGATACTACATATGAGCAAATGAGTAAGAACTATTTKCCATGCTAAATCTTAGGTAGTCCATTTATTTCTAGTTGTTTTTCTTTTAGCCAGCTGTAACCACAGGACAYGCCAGATAAAATCCGGCACCATTTTTGTCTTTCTCTTTCACAGAAGTTTTTTCTAGTGGCAAAAATTTCAAGAATTTTTGAACAATATTTTAACAATCAAACTATGGAGCCCCTGACTAAGAAGAGTTTTTTTTTTTCTGCTTTAACCATAACACAGGCCCATAACACTACAGCACACTTTGGCTGGCATCAGTACTGGACCAAGGACAATGATCTTATTGAAATTAAAATGTGCACGCAGACACAAATTATTGGTCAATGGGGAGGGCAGAAACAACAGGGAGTCAGAAAGATTCCCACAAGGGGAAGCCCAGGAGGTGGACCCTGTCAGCCTCCAGACAGAGGAACAAACCAACATCTCCAGTGATCCAGGCTCAGGTGTAACATGACAGGCTGGCTGGGATGTGCAAAGCACTATGCCCAAGCGCCTGGGTTTAAATTTTTTTTTACCRTTACAGATGGAGAAACAATAGTATTTCAAGCTGTTTTAAGCATAGGTATTGAAGGTATTGTAAGGTATGCATGAGGTTTCCCTGAGATGATGCTTATYGCAGTAAACAACAGGAATTATAGATAATGTACTGATAGCTCTTAGGCTCACTGGAGCTTATAAAAGAATGATTATTATGGCAGTTTAAAACAACTTAAARAGACAAAAAAAATTGTTTCATTTGCTGAAGTTCCCAAGCAGGATTTAGGTGTTAATGCTGGTTCCTTTTCCTATAGTGTTTAGCCTCTTTCTGTAAGTTCAATGATGTTCTTGCTCGATGTTAAGATAGTATAACATGCTTCATGCATTTCAATTTCAGAAGATTCATATTTGGGGATTAATCATAAGTTAATTGCTAAAGCCCAGTACTTTTCCATAATTGGAATAATTCTTCAGCCTCTATTGCCTATAATAGTTACACATGACAGCCCTGAGTGCTATTTAAACTACAGTGTTGTTCTTTCTTTGCAAATGTAGCATTTATGCAGCTCATTATGTGCTAAAGTATTCTTCCTGCTTCATCTACAACAGTAATACCACTGACACCTTGGGATTAGTGATGAAACCTGTCTGAGAATGAACACAGCATCCTGCTTAGTAATGACACCTCTTTTGACACTGTCCAGATGTCCACAGGTGTAGTAGTGTGCTGAGCAGGGCTTCAATTACCATTACCACTGGGTTCTTCAGAAAGTGGGACCACCCTCCCTGCACAGCCATTTGCACCAGGCCAACAAGGGAAGTCAAGTTCAATCAGAAAGAAGAGTGTAAGAGGGAAGATCTAAAAGAGGGCAGTAGAGCAACAATTCTCTGCCAAGTTCTGAAGAAATGACAAGAAAGAAAGAAAGGGTGTTTTGGAGGAAGAACTGGGAAAAAGTTCTTTAATTATTCTGCTCTGATAAACCTGCAATGCCATTTTTCAGAGTACTGCTGACATACCTTTGGATGAAGAAATGGTTTTAAAAATGGCTTTCGTTTTTGAAATAGGATTTTGAGGAGTTGTGGTGAAGTACAGAAATGTGATGCAAAAATCTCTTTATCAGTGTACTCATTTTACTCAGAAACTTTGAACCTGCACTTGCGACTCCCTATTAGGCTGCAAGTTCCACCCCGTGCAGCTTTCTCAGGGTGACTGGATGGGAACACACCTTAAATCCCAAGGTCCCAATGTTTTCTCACTTTGATAAGGCTTGCAGACCCTGCTGTGGGGTGCCTTGACACAGCACAGAAAGGCACAAACCTGCTCTGCCTGCATTAACACTGGACTGGGAAACGCTGGACAGACACATCCTGCTGCTGAGTTTTTAAGGTCTTTGCATCCAGGGAGAAAGTTGYAGGTCTGCTTGTGTAGCCAAATATGCAGATAGCTTTGAGGAAAGTGTTAAAATTATCCCCTTGCTCCCAGGGGAACTTTTACCTCTGGGTTCCTAATTTAGGTTACTGCCTTGGGCCAGGAATAAGATGTACATCACACTTCTACAATTCCAGGTCTTGTGCAGACCAGCATTCCTGTCAGCCAGAGGAAATACCCTGAGTGCAGACCCCATGGCTGAGATGGGAGTAGAACCAGCCCCTCCCATTTCCCCCGCACATTCTCTAGCCTTTAGCCTGCAGGGGCCTTGAAATGGTTTAAGCAGCACGTGGATCTTCTGGCATTTCCARTAGAAATGGTGAGCTCTGCTCAGTTATTTCTCATGTGCCAGAAAACCTGTGACCCTCAGTCCCAGGCAGAGAGAGGGGTCTCCTTACAGCCTCTTGTCAAATGTCCAGGAACATGAGGCAAGGCAAGAGATGCATCTTCTGCCTTTTACTCTTTTACTTCCTTTGGTTTATCTGTATACAGAACCTTGATGCTTTGTCTAACCTTCCTTTTCGTATTGGAATCCCCTGAGAAATRAAAATTCCAGATTCTCAGTTTCAGGTGTCAGGCACATAAAAACATTGCAACATTAAAATTGCAGGCAGCTAGGACACTTGCTGCTTGCGTCATTCYTTTTGGGAATCTTGGAGACYCAAATSCTAAGTTGTGTGATGACTACTCAGCTGTTATTCTTACAGATCACTATTTCCATTAGCTTGCCTGGTGGAGATTGTGAACTACATCTCAAGTGTGTGCTGTGTTAACAAACTGAAACTATCAGCCATGGCAAATAGGCAATTTCAGAATTACACAGAGCAAATGACCAAATAATTCTACTTTATCGATTCATTTGGACTACATGGGAGCTGCAGTGCTTGGTACTTCATTTTTCCATTTAAAACCAGCCAACGAAAAGGGGTTATTTTATCTCAGAT